AGCGTTCCGTTTAAATATGATCACGTCGTCGTCACGTGGGCGATGTTGTTAAAACGTATTCGAAGATGATTTCCAAATATTAAAATATTAAAAAAGTCGATTGAACTATTTATATAAACAGTTCAAGAAATCCCTTCCGTTGATATAGGAAATACGTACTGATCATACAAGCTTGAAGTCCATATGTACAAATGTTGTGAAACATATTTTTTTTTTACTTGCAGGCTTCCAAGAAAATTAAATTTCAGCATTCCCATAAGGAACTGATATGCCGTTGAACAAATAAATCATATATATATATATATATATATATATATATATATATATATATATATATATATTAAACATGGAAAATAAGATGGTGGAGAACTTAGATACCAAAACATTAAACACTGATATACCAATTCTAAAATGCCTCAACATATAACAAAATAAGGCGCCCCCTAGTGTTCACTTCTCGGACCAACCCTTTTTTTACTTAAATGATTTTCCCAAAATTATACTCAGATAATTTTTGAATATATATGCTGATAATTGTTGTGGAGTTATTTCGCAGTGGAGGCTTGTATTTTTACTAAGTCGTTCCTAAAATAGGTTCGATGTACAAAACGTTAGGAACTTGATATAATAGGTATTATGCAGAATAATCTTGTTGTGATCGCTGACTACTTTCGTATTCGACTAATGTCGACTACTGTCGTCCGATATCGACTAGTATTTAGTCACCCTCCCCAGGAGGGTATCATGTGGCACAAAGCCGGTTTAACGTGGGATCTCCGAGCCCGTGGGATCGGCCAAAAATATACCCTTTGAACCTGTATAAACGGGTTCAGGGTGAGTTTACCTCCCCGAACGAGACTCCGCCCTTCAGAGTAGCCTCGTTCGGGTTCCTCCCCGCCCGAAGGCAGCGAGTTCAACCGTTCAGCCGGTCGTCCGACATCGACTGACCCTCGCTTCTCTTACTCCTCCTACTTATATTAGGTGGGAGAGTCTATTAACTATAGAATAGGTGTGTTTCACCATAACAATAATACAACCATATCAGAGGGCACCTCCAAAAATCCTGATGGCCAGAGATTGGCAGCTGATCTCTCTTCTGATCTAAATCTAACAGCTCAGTAAGAGACTAACTGGCTGTTTACATTCAATGCCTCAAAAAGCAAACTAGTTGCATTCTATCATTGCTGAACGGACCCTGAAACACCACCAGTCACGATCAACGGATATCCCCTCGGGGAGTCCCAGTTCCTTGAGAGATTATTGGGTCTTAAACGTTGGCGAGACGTCAAGTGGAAAACATATTTGCGATCCATCGATAAAAATATACGGAAAATTGCACCGCTCCAGACTCCGTGCTATACTCTACCTTTACAAGAGCCAGATCAGACCAAGAATCGAATACTGTTGTTATATTTGAGCAGGATATGCCCAGTTCTCACTTTACAGTATCGATAAAGTACAAAAGCGTCTCCAAGACACTGTGGGTGACAAATTATTTTCAACCCTGCAACTTCTCTTTTACACACGTTATATAGCAAGACTCTCGCTGCTCTATGGAAAATATTCGGACTAACGGCATCCCTCAGTTTCGTCAGTTCTAACTTTCATGGCTAGGACCCGCCATGTCACTCACATTGTAACAACGTTCATTTCCTCCGTATTTAATTAGTGAGAAGTAAGTTCCGCTTGTGTAGCTTCTCCCCGCGTACTACTGATCTGTGGACCCGACTCTAAAGAAGATGTTTCCACAATCTCTCCAATTTTTAGACGGATCGAGATTCAAATAGCGGTAATCATTAGCCGGTCTGTAGAAATCTGGCTGAGTGCCAGATTGTATTTTTAGAAGCAGCCAACAATTTTTTTTCTTATATTATTTCTCTCTCTTTGCATCTTGCTTAGTTTCTGAGAAAACAACTTTCGCTATTTGCGACGTCTGATGTGAACTTTCTTTTCTTAAGTGACACTTTTGTTTTCTTTTATATTCTACTTTTCTTAAAACTTCCTCGTTGCTTATATGTTCCGTCCATGTTAATTCAAGCATTCGTCGGCAGAAGCAGAACACGGCGGCTTCAAATCTTTTATTTAAATGCAAATGTTTGGCGTTTTGGCAACAAGTCGAGCCAATTTTATGAATAAATTTTGGAAGGAAGTGAATAAACATGGTAGACACAAGTTATCCTTCTCGAAACCTCAACATTTTTTTTTAAACTCACAAACAATAAATGCGAGTTGGATATGATCAAAAATAAGATTTCACGAGACTTCTCTATTTTGGTTCTGTCTTGATTTTTTTTAATCTCTTAAGTTCCCGTTTGCTGTCAGCATAACTTTGCCAGCGATATTTCTGTTTCCGCTTTATTTTCCTCTTCTGCTAATGTATTCTTTTTTCGTCATAATTCATTAACCTTATATATTATTCATATTCCTTTTAAGTAATGATAGAAAAAATATATGATCTAAATCCCTGGACGTTATCACATTTTATGTACATACAA